TCACTTCAACACCAAAATAATTAGTTTTTTGCACTACAATAATAAATAATACCAAAAATCAAAGAGTTAAAACCAAAAATCAACCGACAAAATATGAAACGGAATCTAACCCAATATCTAAGTATGTACAGCTGATGAAGTAAACAAAAGTCCGCCCGTAGGCTGATCTTTTAATAGAGGGCACTGGTCGATGGCTCCGGCTTATATACTCTATTGACTGCTTCTCGAAATTTCCCCAATTCTCGGAAAGCGTACTTCTTCATACCAGACAATTCTATTGTCTGATTCCCTTACTTCTCGACTTGACTAAAAGATGGCGCCTGAAAAAGTCTTTTAATTTCTGGCGGATACGTTGCGGTTGTGCAGGCAAGCAGTAATACATTTTTAATTTCTGGCGGATAGGCCATTTTTCTTGACAATAATATCAACTATTAGATATCACTAAGGAGCGAAAATACGAGATATATTTTTATAAATACACTTTTTGAACTCTTAAGGCAGGCGGCCACTGCGAGCTTAACTAAACTAAGCTAAGAATATGAAAACAAACGGTAACTAAATGGGTACTCTACTGGGAACGATTTTCGCTCAGTAGTCAGCTAAGTTTTCGTATTGTATCTCTGCCATCATAGAACTAATCGCTGCGAAAAATTCGCTGGAACCTGTCACGAACTAAAACGAGCGAAACTAAACTCCGATTCGAATCTTCGTTCATATATTTTCATTTTGTTTCGCTCAAGTAGCCGCTGACGCATTAAAAAGTATGGGAGCTGATTTTTACAAATCTTATCTTCGCTTAGTTTAGTTTCGCTCGCAGTGGCTGTATCGCAGTATTTATACTATAGGAAATTCAAATAATTCGTTTTCTGGCAGATGGAAATAAATTGTCTGACCGTTTGACACTTAATGTCAAAGAAAGCTAGATAAAATCAAGAAAAATATGTTTTCTAACTCAATCTTAAATAACTTAAAAGCGGTTTATTTTAGGTATAGGAATCGTATAGTTAAAAAGTAACGAATTGAAAAACTGTTTCATTAGTGAAATAAAAATAGTGAGTTTCCATTTGAAAAAAATGATTTATTATAATTTTTTAATCGCTCAATTCCATGGCGACTACCACAAAACATCCCCCTTTAGAACTTCGTCTATCATGTTAAGAAATGAAAGTAAATAATAAAGCGCCTCTCGTGTTTGTTCGCACTCAAAAAAATTCAATTAATGCCTGTATATATTTTAATATATTTTTTAAATTTACATTTTTTTAATTGTAAAGTAATATATTACATTTAAATGGAATATATTACATAACAATTATGTCAATTACAGGATTTCAAGCTTGTTTTCTGACATTTTTTAAATAAAACGAATTATAAAATTTCAATATATTATATTTGTCGTAGGTATGAAAAAAGTAAAATATAAAATGGACAAACGCTTACTTACATTGCAATAAAACTTCCACTTTTAGTTTTGCAATCCAAACGCAATATTTCTATTTCACAAATAAAAATATCCGACAACACTAAAATCACTGAAATTTCCGCGTCTGACAACGAAAACTGAAAAATATAACGGCACTTTTTGTTTTGAACCTGCATGTCAACATTACGCTGTACTATTATGTGTTTGTTGTTGAAATAATATAAAATATCTAATTATAACTTGTAAATTTTAATATTTTAACATGATTTTAACTACTTTTGACAATAACTAACTTTTTCTTATCAAGATGACATTTTAGACGGCAACTGACATATATGTCATAATATTTGAATCTTAAATATGTATGTAATATAATTTAAATTACTATAATGCAACTTTATACTTAGAAAACATTTATACATTCACAAAATACAACAAAGTCTAATAATATAGTTTGAAAGCAATGAATATTGAATTAAAATTGAAAAAGTTAAGCCCGACCTCTTGTGTCAAAATTAGAAGATTAAATTTTCGCAATTTTTACACCACTTGATGACCGGTGGCGCCTCTAGTGTTTGTTCGGGCGGTTGGGCTTTTACTCCCGCTTATGGCCATTAAAGAAAAAGTTCTAAAGGGGGATGTTTTGTGGCGACTACCGCCATTATTATATGACATTTGAACAATTTAATTTTTGAAGTAGATAGTCACATGTCTTCTCTTTATGTCACAGTGGCTGTGGTAATCACTAAATTTGACTTTTAGGCTATACGAATTTTTTTGACAGGAAGTTTTTTTCGTCCAAAAATTTTAAATAATATTTTTCTCAACAACGGTTAATGTTAGATATAGAGTGTTTAACGTCAATATTCATAGAATTTTACAGATAATTTAAGTATGTAATATAAAATGGGGGCACCCATTTAAAATAAGAAAGTTGCTGTCAACTTCCGGTATTTCCGGAAGTGCCGCCATATTGAAAATATTTTTAATCGATAGATCTTGTTGTGAAACTATGATGTTCAAAAAATTTCCGAGCTAGATGCTGTAGTTCTCTAGAAACTTCTAATGCACGCTCAGCCTGGGACACCCTGTATATCTCCGCTCTCAAGATAATTAAACAATTGATTAATTTTTCTGTCATTATTTTGATGTCTGCTGAAACGATGTATTCTTTCGCTGGATATACAGGGTGGCGTCTCTCATTTGAGTTCGACAGTTTGTACTGAAATGAAATTTTGTGAGCATATGTAGGTTGATTTAGAGCATTTCAAAAAAAGGTACACATCAATGTTGTGTTTTTTGTAACGGAATACCTTATATATTAACTGATTTTAGGATTCTAGGAGAAAAAAAGGTGAGTTTCATTGGAGACGTATATGACTAAAATGTAAGGTTTCTGGAATATTTAACATTTTCTAAAAATGAAGAACAATTTTTAAATTTCAATAAAACCTATCTAAATTGGAATTTATCCGGTATGGTATGTAGTTAAAATAACTGTTGTGCTTTAAATCAAATTAAAACTTGACCCGAAAAGTTTTACAGGTTGAGACAAAATTAATGTTGACTATTGGTCAGCTTTAAAAGCAAGTTACTCTTTTATTTTAAATGGAACACCCAGAATATCATTCTGATATTCAATGTGGAATTGAAGTCTCTTCAAAATACTATTAAGCTTTGTCTACCCCTCACACAAAGATATTTCCTAGATATTTTCGTTTTTATGATTTAGTGTCGATCTTTATTATTTGATAAAATCTAGGTGGCTATGATATGTTCAGGGGCGGATCCTGGATTCGGGAAGGGGGGGGGGGGTAGACGCAAGGCTTTACTTAAAGTACATACTCAGGAGTCGTTTCTGACATAATAAATTAATAAGACAGTATTACATGACTGACCCTAAGGGGGGGGTTGAGCGAAGAGAGTGTTCCATTACAAACTTTGATCCGTCTTTTTTACATATACCGACTTTTTTTGGGGATACCCTGTAGAACTCTATATATTTTTACAAAATGCTTTCAATTGTAGGTTGACATACGCTCCCTAAATTTCATTTCGATATACAGGGTGGTCCGAACTGTATTCCGGAAACTCCGGCAACATATTTTGCAGATAAAAAGAAGTAAAAAAGTTCGTATAAATATGTCCTAAAATGCTTAGTTTCGGAGATACTTTTTTTTCTAAATAATTTCTGAAGTAATGTCAATATTTGGCTGAAAGTTGGTGTCTGGAAGTTTTTTGACATGAGAAATTTGATTTTGATATAAATATGACTCCTATTTGTAGGGGGCGTCACCTACATGTATTTTAACTGTTTTGAAGAGTAATATCTTTTTGTCCATACCTGTATAAAACTACTGAGTGAAAAAATATACATTTCCGTATTTTTTACGTAAAAAATGTCTCTTGGCAAAAATCGCTACGAGCAACCATTCTCAAGATATTTAGAATGGGAACAGTCAATATATGTCATTATTGACAAAAAGAAACCTGTTGAGTAGATAGTTATTTGACTAAAATGATAAATTTGGGAACTCTTTATTTTTTTCAATTAAACATACAATAACGATAAAACAATTTCTGTTGACCTTTTGGCGCCAAAACATTTGAAATTTATGATTTCAGTATAATAAGTATTTGGTCAACATGTTTTAATTTATGTCAATGACGACAGGTATTTATATTTTGATTCCAAATATCTCGAGAACCATTACTCGTAGCGATTTTTACCAAGAGACTTTTTTTACGTAAAAACGTCATAAATGTATATTTTTTTACTCAGTAGTTTTATACAGGTACGGACGATAAGTTATTACTCTTCAAACCAGTTAAAAACTATGTAGGTGGTGCCCTCTACAAGTAGGAGTTATATTGACATCAAAATCAAATTTTTCATCTCAAAAAACTCCCAGACACCAATTTTCATCCAAATATTGACGTTACTTCAGAAATTATTTGGAAAAAATAAAAATGCAACTTCAACACCCTGTATCTCCGAAACTAAGCATTTTAGGACATACATTTATACGAACTTTTTTACTTATTTTTATCTGCAGAGTATGCTGCCTAAGTTTCCGGAATACAGTTCGGACCACCCTGTATACTATGCTACTGTTCTCCTTGAACATCCGCGTCGAATGAGAGGCGTCACCCTGTACTGCTAGTAGTTAAAACTTTTTGAACTTCAGATGAATTTTGTAAAACATTTTTAGCTTAATTCGTTAAAAACTTCTTTATAGCTATGCAGCTTAAAAAAATAAATGGAAATAAAAGATTTAGCAACGTTCGATTTGCAACGTAAAAAAACGTTGAAAGTTTTCAGAAGTTGAGAAATTTAACGGGACAGCAAACCGCAATCACGAACTAGGTCAGCAAAAGTTCTCGGCCCTCTCTAGCGTCAAGTAAACTGTTGGAATTTTAGAAATTAATGTGTAAAATTTGTCGTAGTTTGCTGCTGTAGCTTATTTCAGAACAAAAAACGAAATAAACGTAAAAATTTTGTCAGTTATTTCCTAGAATAAAAAATATATTTATGTCTACAGATACCAATTCAAAATAACAAAAAATATAGATATACCTGTATTAATTTCGAGCATAGAGCCCTGCCTAGATTTAGTGTTGGTTTTCGACACGTCCAGCGTGATGTGATGGGGACAGTGATTGGCTCCATTGCAGTGTCGTTTTCTCCTCACAGCTATCACTACTATAACCAGTACTGCTATACCCAGGGTGAGCAATGAACCCGTTAGTAAACCAGCTAATGGCACCAAACTCATGTTGCTATTTCCATCTTAAATAATAACGTTTTATTTAGAAAAATGTTTGAAAGACGAAGAATGATTGATGACCATACATAACCAAATACATTTGGAAGTTTTGATTCAACATATATAAGCAAACTGTAAACTGACTGTTTGCTTGTTGACCGTTTGATTTGATTACAAATTTAGTATAAATCTTTGTGGCCCGAAATTGTAAGACAGGAACACAGGAAAAAAACTTTGTAACAAACTTTGCTAACTTTACGGTTAAAGTGTGATCGTAAATTCGCGAAAACAGAATGGTACTGTGCCAGTTAACAACCAATACAGGTACTGAAACATTCAAGAGATAATCGAATTGTGATTATCATACACAGGGTGAGTCTTAACTAAGTGCAAATCTTTTCAGGGCTGCTAGATCTCGATAAAAGAAACATATTTTCTCTTTACCGTTTTTCAAATAAGTTGAAAATAACTGAGTTAATCCAGTTTGAAAATTAAAAAAAATTGATTTATTTTTAAAAGATTTTGAGAGTCACCGAATTTTTTCTGTATTTGGGAAAATTAGCGGTGAACTGGCAGTTCTAAAACTTTTTCCAAACTATACAGGAAAATTTAAAAGAAAATACACCGATTTTCAACATCTTTTTTTCTCGAAAAAAACCTTATAGACGTGTTTCTGGAGTACAAATATTAAAAATATTTAAGAGCCACCCTGTATAAGTGACGGCAGACAGTATGTGAAAATCGTTATAACTAAAAAAGTTACACGATTGCTGAAAATTGCTATGCACTAAAAGTAAATGGATGGGTTGTGTAAAATTTTTGAATGGACAAAAACAACCTTATCGAATTTTTCTTATTTAAACATATTGTCAAAGATCCGATCTCTAAAATAAAAAAAAAAGTTTCAGTATCTAAAGTGGTACTTAACTTATGGCGTGTCATGTGTTAAAAAGTTGAGTTATTTAAAAATTATCGCGATTGCTGACGTTTTCTCGTTATAAAAAATGGATATCCTAACGATATCCTTATAATTTAAGATGCTCAGAAACATATTTAATGATTTTATCTAATTATCTTTTCGAAAAATAGTTTTTTAAAAATAAGCGGTTTGCTATCGTGATTCTACTTTATTTGATAGGGAAAGGCGCACCGGCAACGCCGCAACAGCACATCTTCATATTTCTCTCACTCTGACTTAATAAGGTGACTTAATAAGGTAATTACTTCCACACATATAAATACCGACCCAAAAGTAACAGTTGCCAGCACGGTATGTTATTTCAATAGTGAGATACCCTCGGGTCGATTTGTACAGTTAGATTTATATTATTTATCTGAGATTTTTACCAAACCTCACCTGTTCGTTTTTCTGCATCATTTAACATGATATCGTCCAGAACTAATTTCTCACTCTTTCCTTTAGCATTCACAGCATAAACAACTATTCTGAGCGATGGTGGTGATGGCAATAACTCCCCAAGATCCAAGCGAAATAAAGGGTTTTCTGAATCACCAACTGAAATCAAAGAAAATGGAACTTAGTTTTTCTAAAATAATGCTTCAGCCGATAGAAACCTACCAGTTTGGTTTATCCTCAGCCTCATGGTGTGAGCATCGAATGCTTCTAGAACAAATTTTTGAGGCAGTCCTCCATCATAGCCTGATTTGCATTCGACTTCAACAATTTCTATGGTGAGATTGTTAACACTTTTCAATGTACAATTGGATAATGGTGAGGGTTTTGAGGCCGGAACAATCTAGATAAAAAAGCCAATTTAATAAGTTGTAACTATATAACTTAGTCATTTTTAACAAGTTGAGATTCGTGACCACACAAGTTATGCGATATCTTGTGATCGAACTATATTACTTAAACTCAAAGACATCTAACTAAAAGGAGACAAAACAATTTACATTTTATCGCGATCACGAACTGTGTTCCGCAAAAATCGATGATGACAGATTTACGCGGTATGTGATAGAATACGGTTCGAATTCCAAATGTTATTATTGTTATTAATGTTTTTTGGGTACCTATAGAAACGTTAAACTAAAAATTTGTATAGGTATATGACTTTAATTAAGTTAATTTTCTAGTTGAATTATATTAGGGAAATTACAATGGCAACTAGCGGCATCGCTGCGGATTCATCTTTACTACGAAATTGTCGAAATCTGTAGGAATTATGCTGACATTTGACGTTTTCATTTGTTTTCATTCAACTTATATTTGACAGCGCGCAGTTGTGAGTTTTCTGCGGTAGTTGAAAGCAGGGGGGTGACAGTAAACCGGAAAATTGGAAACAGTTGTGGCGCGGTTCTACCCAGGCAGAAAGCATGGCCTTCTAGACTGTCCTAGACAAAAATCTGAATATTTCTATATGATTTCTGTCAATTTCTGCTACGGAACATTTTTATGCACGTCGGCGTCCTGTTCTTTTGTCTTTTGTCTGTGTGTCAGCGTCAGCTCCAGAGGCCTCTGGCAAGGTCGGGCGCCATTTAAATTTTTGCCGTTTAGATTTGATTGGAAGTTTGTTTCTGATATTTCGGCTGAAATTTATAAGTACAAAGATGTTTTTGGTATAAAGTTCCTTGTTAACACTTTAATAAAGTATATATGATATTAATTACACGAAGAAAATGACGAAATCGACGTTTCTGCGTGTGGTAAGTATAGGCCATATTATATGTAAAAATAGGTAATATATTAACTGTTTTTATATTTTTTAGCTTTAAACCCAAGGATCTTGGGATATTCTTTGCCAAGGATTTTTCCGTATCTCTACTTTAAAGACTGATCGGTGATTTTGAGCAATTGAAAGCAAGTTATACAAGGTAAATTATGATTATTGAACTATTATTAGCCTACATTAATTTTCTACAAGATGAACAGAAATGCGTAATTACATATCACATGGGTACCTATTATGTATTTTCATAGCAATAATGCTATAAATCTATGTATGTAGATTATTTTTAAAATACAAATGAGGTATTAGATGTATATGTATTATATTTTTTATTGATTTTATTTTCATTCAAGTCCTGTTTGATTTAATTCACAAAAGTCTTATGTACCTATATTTATGTTTTTTACATATTTTTTTTTGATTCCAGGTTTTGTGTGGGTTCCGGTTGCCTTTTTCCTGCTTCCAGTTATTTAGTTTTATGCCCGTGAAGCTGTGAAAACATTTATTTATCTTCAAGTTTCTGTAAGTCAATGCACTGTTACTTTACTAATTCACTTTAACACAGCATCTGTGATATTATTTAAATATTTGATTTTGATACAGTAGTTTATTGGATTATAGCTCTTTAATTGTGTTGATTTGCATATTTACATTGCTCTAAATTCCAAATAAATATTTTTGAGTAATTTTATTGTATTATTTACCACTAGAAAGAGTAAAAAGTATATTAACCCTCATTTAAACCTCCTGAACAGCCCGCCATTAAAACCCGGAAACGGAAATAAATTTCATAAAATTGAAATTGTCATGTCTATGTCATGTCAAATGTCCCAGCCGCCATATCTGAAAATTAGTTACCCAGGCAGCCACGCTGTTTCCATAATTTAACATTGACTTGACACTTCTTCTTGTATTTATTATTTTATGGTTGAAAGTTTTTGTAGCTTTTGAACAACTTTCTAATAATTATTAGAGTTTATTGCAAAGAAAACTATTTAAGGTAGTTTTTAACTATCTACGATGGTTCGCCAGTGCATAGTTTGTGAAAAGGTGGACTATTCTAACCCGGAATTGATATTTCGACGGTAAGTGTTATTACGTTTTTTTACCTTCAGCCATATAACCTTTAGCCATGCTTACAGTAGTGGATACGTAAAAATACGTTCATTTTCTTATTTATTGGCGCTTTCGATTATGAAATTAGTTACCCTCAGTTAGACCTCAGGCAAAACTAGTTATAATGGAAAATTGGTCTGAGGCAATCCCAATCAAATTTTGATCAAATTCATCAATTTTAGATCAAATTCATCAATTTTTGATAAAAAAAAACATCACGCTACCGTCACGCCACTGATAGAGCCAAAAATGACAGAAAGATAGACGAAACTCAACCGTGTTGTCATATTGATGTACCCATCTCTTTTTAACTCTCATAAAAGTGTCAAACCATGTATGATTCTAAAAAATAGAGTTTTTTGAATGGAGTGTTCTGTCTACCCATTTAGATGTCTTTGCTTAAACTTTACTACTAAAACGTATTTTTAAGTTTTACAAGATTTTTTTATCCCTCTAGGTTTACTTATTTTTTTTGAAAATCAAAACATATTCTTAACCTGGAATATGCAAGGTTCCACTTGCTTCCCTATGGAATTGGAACCCCAACAAGTAAGTGTACCATAGTCTCTCTGTGATTTGGCTGTGTAAGTCAGTTCACTGATGTTCCCGCTAGACGTCGCAAACCGTGGCGGATGGACGTCAAAACTCTCACCGCTGTTGTTGAACTGCCAAAGAAATGTCACGTCTGTTGGATCTGCAGCTACTTGACATCGAACTTTAAGTATTTCGTCTAAGGATGCTCCTATTATTGTCACTTCGGTTTCTTTATTACATACAGGTGCGACTGGAAAAGAAATCATTAGATTAGACAACGACTTTTTTTAAATAAATGTTATTAAAACTATCATCCTATATTTGAGGAGCTGATAAAATGTTTTTTAGACGTGTAATATACTGATAATCTTTGGTCTATGTAACTTAAGATGCTTTTTATTTTAATAGGATATTAATAGTGTCATGTTGCCTTTAATGCGAATTGAATCAACAATATTTTTAGGCTACAGATTACACATTAAAAGTGCAGACCGCCGTATTAGCGGACCCACCCTCTGGCGCTTGTCTGATAAATTTAATGATTTATTGTTGGCCTACTTGTTAGAGTAATTTGTTAAATTAAACACTACCCAGGATATGTGGTATGCCAAATTTAATTATTCACTATATCGCCAAAAGCGAAAGATTGTAATAAATTATAGTATAAAAGGTTTATCCTAAATAGAAAAAATTACATTGACGGTGTAATATTGTTAGGTGTTATAATATGAATATTTTTGGTAGGTATGAATTTAGAACGAACTTAGTCAAGATATTTATTTGAACAAACTTAAATTATTGCATTGTCATCGATTTTTGATTATTGTGTAAAGTTTAAGTTCAACCTGACGTCTTAAATTGGGCGAGAATAAGGATCAAAGATTCTGTTACATACAGTATGTCTCAGCTTCTTCATAAAAAAAATTGTTGTCAAATGGTTAATCCACTTTATATCTTTCCAAATTTCCAAACCGTTTTAGAGAAAATTAAAAAAAAAATGAAAATGTGGTTGAATTTTTCCTAAATAATATCAAACGGCGTTTCTATGGTAATAAAATTTCGTATTCATTCTTTGATAGATTTTATTGATAGAATTCTAATTAACGGCATATTTTCTGTTGTTTTCAAACTTCAAAGAAGCATAAAAGTTATTTTGTTCAATGTTACGAAAAGGGTGATAAAAGTTATTAGAAAATGTGATACTTTAACAACAGCAAAAATATGACGTCAATCAAAATTCTATCAATAAAAATTTGTCAAAGAATGAAATCAAAATTAAATTATCATAGAAACGCTTTCTGATTTTTAGGACTTTGAAAAAATTCAACCACATGTTCATGTTTTTGGAAACCACATTTGGAAAAGTATAAACGGGATTAACCATTTTAGAACAAGCAAATTAATTTATAAAGAATGCATTTTTCTTAAAATGTTAATAATAAAAAAGTTTTTTCTCTTGTAAAGACAATATTGGGAGTAAGCGCGTTGGGAGTAAAAATTCAAGGCCGTGACACACGAGCAAGCGTCAGGAAAAGTGGTAACGATCAGAGGTTACTACGGAGCGTCATATGTCTCGGGCCCTACGTGAGCTAGAGGGCTAAAACTCGGATTCGAGCCCCATCTTATTCTGATATTTTGACGATGTTTCGCGCACTACGAAACCCTATCATCAATGAATCAAATCAAAAAATCGTCTTATTTAAATAAAATTTGGTATGTTGATAGATTAGACCAAGGAAAAATTGACTCGTGTCACTGTCACAGATAGTTATGATGCAAGAAACGTCAAAAGTTGATGGATTCCGATCGCGTCCAAATTTTGGTGGGTAGGCTAAGTGAGCGACGGTGCACACGGTCCCACCCTGCAAAGTTGGATACGACGTTTCTTTTACATCTTCATCAGGGTGGGATTAACGATTTAATATTGAAGAAAAATGTGGACTAATTTCGGCATAATCGGGGACGGGCTACACGATGACGCCCTCGACGTTTGGACGAAATGACGAAATCATCAGGATTTTTCTTATTTATGGGTCGATTGGAACCAAACTAGGCACGTGGATAGAGAAACTCGAATGGAATCCAGTGGCGGCTCGTGACCCGTATGACTGGGTAGGCGACAAAATTTTAGTTGAGTCTCTTTGATAAAATATAAATAACAATGTTATCTAATATTTCATAAAATAAAATTCGCAAAGATATTTGACTTAGCCGCTTTTATTAAGATATTAAACATATCGAAATGAAATAGCACAGAGACTTTTCTGTAATATCTGTTGTATCGTCTTCTTGGCATCGAATAAAATAACGCGCTTTTTTATTTCGGATTCTTTTATTTCTGTGGCGTGTTCTGAAATACAACCGTTTACATCATTTTTAATAATCTCGGACAAGCCCGAAAAAGGTTTTCAATTTGCTTTACACGTTTTTTGAATTTTCATATAAAAGTTTTAAATGCTACGTATAATGAATCATATGAAATATCCCCTTGACGAAATGTGATATATCTCCTTATGAAGGTATCCGGAATATCCCCTTAACATCCAAGCCTACCGAGCCTCCACAACTTCATGCGAAGGCGACCGGAGATTTCGCCTAAGCCCCGCCTTAATATGATACAACTCCGACTTACGTCGCGTCGCTACACGTTGAGTTAGACAGAGACAGAAGACTGCCGTACGTCGTGCATCGTACGGCCTACGTTTCTACATCGTCTAGTTTCTACATCGCCTACTCTGATAGTAGGCGATGTAGAAATCGCCGAACAAAGGCACTCCAACAGTCAAAATTATTTTGTTTTCTAACGCAGCGGCACAGTCAGCGGTCAGCGTACGCCAGCGATAGTGAATATGTTAATATCGTTAATATACAAGACTACAAAAAATATTAAAATAATATTGATTAATTAAACACACTTCCGTGTATTAACAGTATTTTTATGTATTGGCAACATTAATAGTAAATAATGTAATGTAATAATTCGCTTAAATTCTGCCAAAATCTTAGGGTAGGCGCCGCCTACCTTGCCTACCCTGACGAGCCGCCACTGATGGAATATTCAGACGGACAGGAAAGACGTGTCTGGAAACGTTGTCTCCTTTTTCAATCTTTCTATAATTAGCATTAATTTCTGACAACTTTTATGTCAATTTTTAGTTAATTACGTCTAAAGATTGACCTCGCCAAAACTATCATCGATTGTCATTCTCCAACCGTCTTTGACACCTTTTTTTTTCGATCATAGTAGATACTTATACCTAATATTTATAAATAATATACTCCTTCCTTAAACTTTTTATTTAAAGAGGTGAAATTATTAAATGCGCGTTAGTAAAGGAAATCATTTAGGAAAAAAATCGCTTTGAATGTGATGAACCAAATAATATAAAAATCCAATTTAAAAAAAAAACTAACGAAACACAAAATAATATCTGTTGATCATTATTTTATTCATTGTAGTCGCATCAAAAAAAGGTTCAGATTTTTTTTGACTAATATCCAGTTGGTCGAATTCCGCGCAAAAACACAAACTAAACTAATATTTAAACTCGGGCAAATCTGCATAGTAATTTCGAAAAAATCAAATCCCGTGAACACAGCTCACGCACCATTTGACGAATCAATAATAAACAATGGCGCAGTTTTAAAACCAAACAAAACCGGCAGCTAGGTTAAATCATTGCCGCGATATCGAAAACTGACATATTTTATTGACAGGTAAATATAGGAAGTAAAGTGTACCATATACACGGCCAATATTGAGCGAATAGAATGTTCGACACTGATGACCGATTCCATGCGACATTTTTGTCTATTTCCGGTTATTTATACAGTTTTAGTATTGGAAATACTACTAGGATAATTTTTATGTAAAATTAACATTGGTTGTCGCGACCTCGACATGTAAAATCGACACCGAAACAGCGATATCTACTTGAAGATATCATCTGTACTTGAAGTAACGTAATACCTTATGATCCTTATACGTATCTAATTGTTTGGTAATCCTTACTAATATTATAAATGCGAAAGTTTGTTTGGATGTATAGATGGATGTATAAATCTTCGTTACTCTTTCACACAGAAACTACTGAATGGATTTTAATGAAACTTTTCAATAATATAGCTTATACATCAGAATAACACATAGGCTATAAATTTTATGTAAAATTAACATTGGCTGTCGCGACCTCGACATGTAAAATCGACACCGAAGCAGCGATATCGCTTTAAGTAACGTAATACCACGGCATATAAATCACACGGCAGGCTAACTCTGCCCAGATCCCATTGTTTTAAATTTCTATAAAATTTGACCTTAAAAACACCATTATGGGTGCCGAGTCAGGGCCGGATTAAAACGTATCAAAAAATTTCCCAGAAAATAAACTATTGATACACAGGGTCGTATTAAAAAAAATACTGTAATTGACTGAAACTAAATTTTATTTACACAATACTTTTATCTAAACAAATGAATCGTTAACCGCGCATACTCCTCGAAAAGTAACAATGAAAAAATCAATTAAACATTTAACTGTAGAGAATAGACAATTAAAATTAAAAAACATGCCAGGAGTTACAAACAAGAATTAAAGAAATACCCAATAAAATATCTATTGAACAATCTAAAGAGGCTACGTACAAATTATGTCCATTAATGGACATAGCAAATTTTGTTAATATTCATCATAATATAATAATAATATAATCAAAGTGCAATTTATTTTATAATAGTGGTCGTGATAATATTGTAGGTTTTGAGGACCAGAAGGGGAACAGAGAGTTTAAACCAGCTCGGGTGTCTAATGTTGTTATGGTAAGAGGTATCTCTACTAATGGAAAGAAGTCCCTAGCTTATTTTACAAGCTTTTATTTAACTTGCTTTGTATGTATGTTTGTTTGGGGCAAATCTTTAGAAGCACTTCCTTTCATTGTAGGAAATTGAAATTTGGCATGTAGGTTCAGTCCCGATGACAATACATTTTCTTTCAAGTCATGACCCGAATTTTTGACAGCTATCAAAAAAAATTCAAATTTATCCGATTTTGATAAAAATCGATATATAGGATGGTCATGGGCTTAAATGAAAGAAAAAAAAAATTGAGCTGTCAAATTTGACAGCTGTCAAAAAAATTTCAAAGTTGTCCGATTTTGATAAAAATCTATATATAGGATGGCCATGGGTTAAAATGAAAGAAAAAAAATGAGCTGTCAAATTTGACAGCTGTCAAAAAAATCTCAAAGTTG